CTCTCTTTCCTCTCTTTCTCCTCTCTCTCTCCTCTCTTCTGTCTTTTCGCTCTCTCTCCCCTTCTCTCTCTCCTCTCTCCCTCTCCTCTCGCTCTCGCTCTCTCTGTCTTCTCCTCCTCCCTCTCTCCCTCTCTCCCTCTCTCCCTCGCTCCCTCTCTCCCTCTCTACCTCTCTACCTCTCTCCCTCTCTCCCTCTCGTCCTCTCTCCCTCTCTCCCTTTCCCTCTTTCCTCTCTTTCCTCTCTTTCTCTCTCTCTCTCTCTCTCTCTCTCTGTCTTTCGCTCTCTCGCTCTCTCTCTCTCTCTCTCTCGCCCTCTCGCTCGCTCTCGCTCTCTCTCGCCCTCTCGCTCTCTCTCGCTCTCTCTCGCCCTCTCGCTCTCTCTCGCTTGCTCGCTGTATCTCGCTCTCTCTCTCTCTCTCTCTCTCTCTCTCTCTCTCGCTCTCTCGCTCTCTCTCTGCTTCGCACGCCAAGGCACCCCCTGTCAATATGCAGGACTACCCGAACCTTTTCCCGTACTTGCTTTGTGGGCCAACTTTAATCAGAGATTAGGCACCCCAAAAAAGTGACTCATAATAAAGCAGATTGAATGTCTCACTCTCACCCAATGTGGTAGCTTCGACATTGAATCCTTGCCTACCTTGTGCGAGTGCGCACGTCGGCACCCTACATCCAATGTGCAGGGGTCCAGATGTGCAAGTAGTGGCAGCCTAGGTGCAGTGACCGATGTTCGACGGAGCCCCGCGACTTTACGCAACGAGATGGAGACCTTCTTTTTGGCGGACGCTCGGCTGGCTTCGGGGTTTGGGGTTTAGGGTTAGGGTTGAGGGAAAAATTTCTGGATTTCCATATGCATGAAGATCTCCTCCAAAGTCAGGGTGACGTCTTGCTTGAACTCCATGATAGCATTTATTCCAGTCATCGATATGTTTGTTCTTTCAACAGTGTGCCCCCGCGAATAGCTCGTAAGATGATTTCCTGAGTTCAACATTCAGACTGAGCGTGTTGCCACGAGAGCGACGAGCTCGACCAGGCGCGCTGAGACAAGCCTGTGCAAAAAAGGGTTTAGGGTTTAGGGCTTTAGTATTAGGGCCTCCAAGTTGCCAGGATGGGCTAGGCCATTTGACCCTCGGTTGTTTATGGGGATGGGATTGTGAGATCCAAAGCCCTCTCAATGGCTCATCCTGGTGCTCCCCCAGCTGCCGCTGCACTGGCCATGGCAGGGGGCCCTCGGTTTTGCAAGCTGTATACCTCTAGCTGTGGTTTCTTGTCTGGGGGGGGGGGGTACCTATAGTTTCTTGGTACTGTATATTGTATACTGGTGATAAATGAGGTGGTGGAAAAAGGGAACCACCATGGGACGTCTAGGTTGAAGAAGGTGGGCAATGAAGGCCCCTCGGACGAAGAGCTTGCGTTTAGGCTTCTGGGCTTCCTTTTTTTGAAGTAACCAACCCAAAACAGGGTACCCCTGTTCTCATATTCCTGCTGGGCTACTATAGGGTTTAGGGCCTTTAGGGAAGTCTTCGGCCCAGGAGACCTTGAAGTATCTCTACCTCACTTTCGTCCCAAACCCGCGCGCGGCTCCGTGGCCGCACTGGACCGGGAAAGTAGGGTTTCGGGTTTAGGGAGTGCCTGTAACCGAGCTGCTGGCGCACGAGGCTCGCTGCAAAAGGGTTGAGAGTTTAGGGTTTAGGGTTTAGGGTTTGCCTTGTGGACCGAATGAACCCTGAGAGGGTTATTGGTTCATATTGCCTGAAAGTGGAGTTGTAGAATATAGGGTATTTGGTTCCCAAGGAAAAAAGGGGGCTTGCTCTTTATTTCGGGTGTGGATGGAGGGCTTGGAAGGATTAGAACTGTCAGCTTTGACGTGCTTTTGCGGTGGCAAAAGGTCTACATGGTCTGTGGCGCAGCGAAGCCTGCTACGCGCAGACTTACGCGCAGACTTAGGAAGAACCTGTTCATGCAAGAGCCACTAGAACCTCACCAGCAGAACATATCTCACTTTCCTGTGTGATCCTTCGCGTCGTAACTCGAAGACTCCTAAGCAGACTCTGTCATCCTACATCTTTGTCGATACCCTGGAATGGCCGCCTAAATGCACTTTGTGTCGCCTCTGTTGGCTTCAGGTTGTTTTCAAATTGGCTTCCGAAAAGCACGTACTGTCTTCAGCTTGGTATGTGCAGCGACGCGCAGGTGTTGAACCTCGACGACTTCGTTATCACGACCGAAGCCCATCCTCTTAGAATAGCCAAAGCAGCAGCAGCTGCCAATCGGCAGCAGAAGTTCCTAGGCAAGTGAGACACAGGCACGCAGAGGCGCCGGATGCGTGACAGCTGTTTTCACCGTCTGGCGATGCGGGTCGGGCCCGCTCTTTGCGTGTAGTAGTACTCATACCCTAGAGGCATTAAAGATAGTTAGGGTTTAGGGTTTAGGGTTTAGGGTTTAGGGTTAGTAGGGTCGGTCTAGGGTCTAGGGTTTAGGGGGCCTGGCTTCCTTCACCCGGAGCAGGTTTTCGTCGAGCGCCCAAGCAAAACATGGCTTCGGCTTTGCGGGGGGCTCGTCCAGTCTTGTCAGCCCGGTTTGCTGTCATCGCCGCCCTCGCCACAACACTAAACCAGAGTAACCCTAAATCCAAACCCCTACCCTGAGGCTCCAAGGACTCTTATTTCAGGGTTTTTGGGCCCAAAGGCCTTACTGTATAAGGTTGTTGGGCTATTTTGAGCCTAAGGGCTATAAACCCCAAAGCCATATCAGCAGACCTGCTTAGATGAGCCCCTGCTGGTCTTGCTCTATGCACAAGAGGCCTTTGAGGCTGGATAATTCACAAGGCGGTGAGCCGCCAGGGCGGTCACAGAGCCGGGGCTCTCGTTCCATTCGCAAGAAACACCTCCAAAAATCGATTTTGGGGGTACCCAAAGAGCTCAATACCCCTTAACTAAGGGATATACCTTAAAAGCATCTTAGCATCCCGCATGTACATTGAGGTATATTGGGCTCTTGGGAAGTGCATTCAGGGTCTTTAGATTGTTTTTTAATGATTGGTTTAGAGTTTAGGCTGTCAGGTGTCCGGCCAGCGCAGAGTTGGGCTGGGATCATGCCCTCTCCTCAACCCTAAGCCCTTAACCCGCAAACCCGTAACCCGAAACCCTTAACCCTCAAATCCTAAACTCTAAACCCAGAAACCCTAAACTTTAGAGAAACTGTCTTCAAGGTGGGGACAGTTTTGTCGGGGGGGAACCGAAGTACAAATCAGTTGTGGCAATTGTTTCCGCAAAGTTAGTGTTCACCTCCGACAAGTAAACCCTAGATCCCTTGCCCGATGCCTCTTCCGAGTGCGAAGTTGCCGGGTACAGATTGTGAAGGGTGGAAGCAGAAGATTCCCCCGGTGTTTAGTTATTTTTTTTTTCCCGGTTGTTAGGGTTTCAGGGTTTTTACTCGTAGGGTTTTCAGGGTTTTAGGGGTTTTAGGGGTTCACCACGATGATTTGGGTTGGCGACGCAGGGAGAGGGGACATCAGGGCCCCTAAGCCAGGACCATGCGGGTTTAGGGTTTCGGGTTTGGAACTTTCAAGGTGTCTCCCAACGAGCCCAAGCCCCCTTGTTCGGGAACAAACCTGAGGATCCTTATCATGGTGTATTCCTCATTCAAGGGGAATTGTGCCCTAAACCCCAAACCCTAAACCCTAAACCCTATAAACCCTAAACCCTAAACCCTTGGGCCCAGAGACCGTGAGACTGAAAGAGCCCGGAGCTGTACGCTCCGTCACCGAGCTGCCGCCAGCTGCGCGTCGCGCATGCATGCCGCCCTCAAAAGAGTCTTAGCGCCCTTTAGGGTTTAGGGTTTAGAGTTTAGGGCTTAGAATTTAGGGCTTAGGGTCGGCCCCCTAAAGCCCTAAACCCCTTAATGGTGCTTGGGATGTCGGTCCCTAAATGTGCTTGGAAGTTGTTGTTCTAAGCCCCGCCTCTCGAAGACTGGACTGCCTAAACACCACATAAATCATGAAACGTCGCCCCTAAACCGCAACCCTAAACCCCAACCGCCCTGCCCCGAAAATCCACAACATCCATGAATCTCAAGGCCACTTGAACCCCCAAAGCCACGAAGTTACTTCCATTTACCTTCCTAAACTTCAATCCAGCTCATTTTGAACTCTAGCCCCCCCCCCCCCCCCTAGACGCTAAACTCTAAACCATTCTAAACCCTAAACCCTAAACCCCAAACCCTAAACCCTAAACCCTAAACCCTAAACTCAACCGAAGCTTACTTTGCCAGACAGAGAGGCTCAAGGAGAAGCCCCAAAAGTCGCGCGACTTGAGGAGCTTTCAAGGCTCAGGGTTTGGGGTTTAGGGTTTAGGGTGATAGACTTCGGGGTTAGGGCCTCATATAGGGTTGAGTGGCAGGCTCTTACAGGGCGAATAGATCTAACCGAGGTCAAGGTACGCGAGCTTTGCTCTAGCAAAACCCAATGAGCCCAATACCCCTTAATCGTATGGGGATCCTTATTGTGGTTTAAGACATGTTCGTTGCATGGGCTCTTTGGGGAGTGAGTAACCTTCTGCGGCTCAGAGAAGGGCAACCCTTGATTGCAGCTATGACGGCTACCCTCTGGTCTGTCATCTCTTCATGCTTAGCCAGTTCTCGCTGTGTGCGTACAGTGCAGATTAGGCCCTAAACCTATAAACCCCAAACCTGATACCTTAAACCATAGTGGAATCTTGAGCCCTGACCTAGTAGTCGAGTGAGTAGCACGTTATTTTCTAGAAGGGGTGGAGGGTAGGGCAGGATAACCATATATCTTGCCTAGAATAGAATCGCTAAGTGAGTGGTTGCCAATATTATGGTCTCTTTTTGGATCCCTATTTTACTACGTCACCTGAAATTTAGGGTACCCCAGAAGGGATCATAATTTTGACAACCACCCAAGTGTCACCTTGAGCTCCCTAAACCCTAGACCCTAAACCCGAAACCCTAAACCCTAAACCCTGTCAAGTAAGCTGAGCGCCATGGCCTCACAGCCGCTAACGGGCCTGGCTGTTGAAGAGGCGTCTGGGGCCGAGTGACCCCAGAGCGCGTCGAGGGTTTAGGGTTTAGGGTTTGTAGGTGGGGAAATTAGGTGGGGGGGGGGAACCCAAAAATTAAGATTCTTTTGCCCGAAGCCTTCCTGTACTACAAGAAAACAGCCAACATGTTTATCAAAATCTGGGTTCCATAGAAACTCTTCGGGTTCATCCGGTCTCCAAGCATCCAGCAGGTGATCCTATGGGCTTTGTTACGGTTGAGAGCGCCGCACCTGACTTTGGATGTCGCGGTATAGGGGGTTTTAAAGCTTAGGGGTTTAGGGTCTTAGGTTTAGGGCCACGGCCCTAGCTATGGGTACTTGTTGGAGGTTCAGGGCACTTATAAACCAACTACCACTGTACTGATAACCCACTTGTAAGCCCGCCCCTAAGTGCCCTAATATGGTTTAGGGTACAGGTATAACTACAGCTATAATTTGTGAATACAGTACCATGAACCTCCAAGTAGTCTCGGCAACACAGGAAGTGGGTGAGCGAGGAATTGAACATGTTAATCAATCGGGGCCGGCCTCGTTCTTATCCGCGTTGTTTGTGCCCAATATCCGAAGCAATGAACTAACTCAGGACGAGACAAGGCCTCCAAAACCGGCGTGAGAAGCGCGGCATCTACGATTTGCGTAAGAATCACCCCAAAACATACAAAGCAACTTATCATGAGAAATGTTTTTTTTTTTTTTTTTGGGGGGGGGGTTCTTAAGCAATTAGTAGTCTAGGTCTTGTGCACTGTGCCTCCAGGCCACAAACCTGGCCCCCAAACAGTGTAGGGTTTCGGGGAGCTTGAGAGCCCAAAGTCTCTGCAAGAATCAAAGCAAAGCCCACCCCCTAAACCCTACACCCTAAACCCTAAACCCTGAACCCTGAACCCTAAACCCTAAACCCTAAACCCTAAACCCTGAACCCTGAACCCTGAACCCTAACCCTAAACCCTAAAGGTCTCGGGACACAGTGGCGCAGCTGCTGGAGTCATGTGATGCCTTCCTCTTTGACTGCGAGTCTTGGGCCTTTCCCTTAAGGTCCATGGGTTTAGGGTTTAGGGTTTAGGGTTTAAGGTTTAGGGCTACCGAAGCAGTATATACGAGTGTATACTTTAAGGCCCATGCATAAACTCGCTAGGTACATGGGCGCCGTTCGTTTCGGGGCTTGCAGCCTGGGGCCCCTAAACCCTAAACCCTAGACCCTAGACCCTAAATCCCAAACCCCAAACCCCAAACCCCAAACCCCAAACCCCAAACCCTAAACCCTAAACCCTAAGTTGGGGAAGAGTCAGGGCTTTCTTCAATCCTCTTTTCTCATGAGCGGGAATGACTAAGCCTTGAATCTCTGGGCACTCTTGTGAACCTTCATCTTCCCATTTCAACCCCGTTAAACACCTAAACCCTAAACCCTAAACCCTAAACCCTAAACCTAAACCCTAAAGCTCCCATGGCGCCAAGGACGGGACCCTCTACCATGCTGGCGAGGCTCCGGTTCACGGGTGCATAGCGCAGATCAAGGGATGAAGACTCGGGTTTAGGGTTTAGGGTTTAGGGTTTAGGGTTTAGGGTTTAGGGTTAGGGTTTAGGGTTTAGGGTTTAGGGTTAGGGGTTAGGGGTTAGGGGTTATAGGGCTAAGGTTGTACCCCTAAAGCTTCTCCTTAGTATACTCCTAATATGGCCCTTATATTCCCTTAGAGATCCTTACATCTGCTCGACACTGCCACACTCTTGGGAGGGTTGGGCTTTAGGGTTTCGGGCTAGACCCTAAAATCCCCAAATCCGGCCGTCCAGCGGCAAAAAAGGGTGGGCATAGATACGACGATGCCATCAGGGTAGTGCGCACAGCGGGAAGTAGTATGCCACCGTGCAGACTTGCCGAGCTTGCTACTGTTTTGGGAGCCTGGCCAAGATTCAGGGGTGCTTGGGGTTTATGGTTTAGGGTTTAGGGTTTAGGGGGCTTGGATGTAGCGCAAGCCACAAGTCCTTCACGCACCCATGCGCTTGCGCTTAAAGTTTTGCAACGTCTTCCCTCTGTTCACTGCCTCAATTTCTTGGCGTCGGCACGATTTTGTCTCCACATCAAAGAGTTCCGGCTGTCAGTGGCGACATAATTTGACATGGCTTAACCCTCAGCGCAGCTGCAAAGCCCAAAGTAGACCCGAAACCCTAAACCCTAAACCCCAAACCCTAAACCCTAAACCCTAGCCCCGACGAATCTGCACCCTCCTTTCACATCCTGGCCAGAGCTCTCGAGGCTTTGCCAAACGTGGCGGAGGCGATCGCGCTGTTAAGAAGCTTGGGAAAATCTGCCTGCACCCCAGACCAGAGCCGGTCCAGCGTAGCCAGGACAGTTCGAGTTGAGGTCGTTTGCAGTTCAGTGTTTTAACATGCGTTTGCAGTTCAGTGTTTTAACATGTCTGCTATATCCCCCTTGGGAATTACTTTTTAGTTTTGTTTATATAAAAGCCAAGAGGATATTAAGATAGAGTCTGTGATACGTGGCCGCCTGGAAGCCACGAGGTTTTCTTCGTGACGAACACCTCGTCCAGGACTGGTGAATTTGTCGACGTTGCCTCTACCCGGTGTGAGGGATGGGGCGGGGGCCGCGGGGGGGGGGGGGGGGAGTGCTGCCCGAAACCTCCAGTCCCAAACCTATACTGTACTTATAACCATAAGTATAACTGTGCTTTTAAGCCCCCTAAGTCCCCTAAGTGGGTTGTAAGTAGACTTATAACTGTGGTTTTAAGTACCTATGAACCTCCAAGTACCCCTAATTCCGCAAGTATGTGGATGCATTGGGGTGCTTCAAAGGGGTGCGGGCCCCTTCGATGGAGTTGCTGGTTTTCGTGTTTGACAACCCTCCAAGTCTGCTTTAGGGTTTAGGGTTAAGGGTTTAGGGTTTGACCAAATTCTGCTTTTTGCGTTTTATTTCTGAAGCCTCCTTACCTTGTAGGATTCTCAGGAAACGTACAAACGTAACCTAAACCCTCCCCACAAATCTCTTGGGGTCTTGGGGACTTGGGAAGGGTTTCTGTGCTCGCATCGGGGTTTGTGGGTTTAGTCAGACTTGACTTCTTGTTCTTGTGGCTCAGTCAGCTACAAACCCTCGGCAACCATGAAATCCTACCCCAAAAACCCCTAAAGCCTATCAGAATCAAAGAAGCCAGGAAGCCAATCAAGCCATCCCAAAAAAAAACCCAGAGGGGGCTTGAGGTTTACTTCGGGTTTAGGGCTTAGGGGTTATCTAGGGCTAGTTTCACGGGCCCTGAATATGGTCCCTTAAAGGAGGACACCTTATATGGTAGCGAACCATGTTAAGGGCCCATATAACTACCCTTAGGATAGGAAACTGTTTAGGAACCATGGGCCCCCCCTAAACCTGCCCTAAACCCTAAACCCTGGACCCTAAACCCTAAACCCTAGCACGTAATGACCATGGGACCGTGTGTACCTCGCCTGGCTTGTCCGAGTGTGAGCGATTAGACCCTACTTGGAGGTTCATGGTACTTATTAACCAATTATAACTGGGCTTATAACCCTACTTATAATTGGGATACCCCTATAATGCCCTTTAGGGTATGATAAGTAGGGCTATAAGTACAGTTCTAATTGGTTAGTAAGTACCATGAACCTTCAAGTAGATCCCGGTTTAGGGTTTAGGGTTTAGGGTTTAGGGTTTAGTGTGAGCGATGAAACCCTGGCTCGAGAGCAGGAGCCGTGAGCAGCTGCGAGACAAGCTCTGCAGACTTGGCATCGACTGCCGCGCAGAGGCCAAGGGTTGAGGGTGCAGGGAGGGCTCCGGGAACCCTAGCCCTAAACCCTAAAACCCTAAACCCTAAACCCCCTAAACCCTAAACCCTAAATCCTACAACCTAAAATCCTTAAACCCTAAAGCCTCACTCTAAACCTAGACTACCGCCAGGCCAAGGGTTTAGGGCTGAGCATGGCGGTGCAGGATTTTCGGGAGCCTTATGTGAGAGGGCCTTTAGGCCCAAAAACCCAAAAAATAGGAGACCGTGCCCTTTAAAGCTTCCAGAGCCTTTTAAAGAAACCCTGTGGGCCTCCCAGAAGCGTCTGAACCTTCGGTTTAGGGTTTCGGGGTTTAGGGTTTAGGGTTTAGGCTGACTTGTAGGGTTTAGGCTTTCCGGACCTTCGCAACTTTTGACTACCTACATCAAGGGCGGATGGATTGGGATCGTGTTTTTCAGCTTTCAAGGCCCAGTCGTGTTCGGAGACTCCCCTTGGCAAGAACTCCTACCCCCCCCCCCCCCCCGTGAAAGGGAAATTTCCAAACACGCTTTTTTTGAGGGTGCACAAGGAGACCTCAAGCACTGAACCATCGCACAAAGAATGTTGGGTCCTGCTCTAAACCGACCAAGGTCATAAGCTGGGTGGGCCGGTTGGGAGAGAACGTGAACCTTGGCGCACACCACAGCACACGTCTCGCGCGGTGGTGTTCGCGGAGCATGCGACACACCCCAAACATCCCCACCCTAAACCCTAAACCCTAAACCCTAAACCCTAAACCCTAAACCCTAAACCCTAAACCCTAGACAGAAAACCCTACGATAGGGGAGAGAAGTTACTCAACTCTTGGTCCCTAAGGGGTCCGAAGCCCGCTAAACCCCCAAACCCCAAACCCTAAACCCCAACCCCTTAACCCTAAGCCCCCCCCAATCATGTTGCCGCTTCTACACCTGTTTGCCCAGGAGTGCGTGCCTTCTGGGGTGTGGGTGCCTCAGCTTAATCCAGAGGTTCCTGCTACTACTTGGAGGTTCGTGGTACTTACCAACAGATTATAACTGTGCTTATAACCCACTTGCAAGCCCGTTAAGTGCCCTGACATGGTTATGATTGGGTGATAAGTGAAGTGACAATTTGGTTAATCAGCACCATGAAACTCCAAGTACCCAAAGAGCCCAATACCCCTTAGTAAAGAAATAGACCTTAAATCACATGAAGGACCCCTATAGAAAACATCAGGCATATTCCTGAACTAAGGTATATTCCGTACTTCAGGAACTCCGAATCAAGCAGATGGCGCACTCATTCCCAGAGAGCTCAACCCCCCCCTTCAATGAAGGAACAGACCTCAAATCGTATTAAGGGCTCAAAACACTAGTTTTCATGAAAGTACGAATCCTAAACCCTAAACCTAAACCCGAAGCACCTTAAGGTATGTTCCTTCATTAAGGAATGAGTGCTTAAATCGCTAGCGCGCAGCATGTGAAGACCAGAAGGAGCCCGGGGATGTCTGTTTCTAGACCCTTGCAGCAGGCTAAGTCTGTAATCCCCAAAGCCTACCCTAAGCCCTAAGCCCTAAGCCCTAAGCCCTAAGCCCTAAGCCCTAAGCCCTAAGCCCTAAGCCCTAAGCCCTAAGCCCTAAGCCCTAAGCCCTAAGCTAAGCCCTAAGCCCTAAGCCCTAGACCCGAAACCCTAAACCCCAAACCCCAAACCCCAAACCCGAAACCCGAAACCCGAAACCCGAAACCCTAACCCAGGACTGTGTGATAGTGCATGCCTCGCCTGGCTTGTCCGAGCGTGAGCGATTAAACCCTCACCCTAAACTTCCCTAAACCCCCAAACCCCCAAACCCCAAACCCTAAGGTTTAGGGTTTAGGGTTTAGGGTTTAGGGTTAGAGCAAACCCCAAATTGCTCCTGTTGCAATATCTGGGTACTCCATCGCACGCTCCGGAGCCCGGTCAAGTCACTCAACCCTCAAAATTCCCAGTGTCCGACAACCTTGGACTAAACCCTATAACCCTATAAACTCAGGACCCTATAAACCCTAAACTCAGCCCTCAGACCCCAAACTCCCAGTTTCCTTGAGGTTTGCAGCCACCTACATCAGGACCGGACTCCGGAGCTCGGTAGCTGTTTGGTATTTGGGGTTTAGGGTTTTCGTTTGGTTGGGGTTTAAAGTTTAGGGTTCAGGTTTTGGGTGTAGGGTTTAGGCTTACTCCAGGAGTCAAGGTTCAAAAAAGGGTTTGGGCTTTGGTTGCTCAGAGGTGGGGAGGCGGGGCGTTCTGGACTCTTACCCGCAGCTTCCAATACCCTAGACCCTGCAGATTGCTTACATCGTACCACGTCACAGGGCAGTGACTGGATGTACAGATTGCTTCAGGCACCACCCCACCACAAGCTAAGCGAGTTTTATAGGTTGCTTTGGGTTGGGGGGCTTATAGGGTTTTAGCCTTGTAGGGTTTAGGGCTTAGGGTTCAGGTTTTAGGGCTGATGTTGTGTTTGTGAGTATGGCGGTGGCTGGTTGAAGGAATGGAGGTGATGGGAGTGCAACAGTAGACTTGGGTCTTCTGCAAACCCAAATTATGAATTGGCCTAAGAACCCCTCTACAAAACAACATTTTTTCGTCATAAGGGCAATATACGGATTTGTTACATGTAATTGGGGGTTCTTAAGCCACTGGCAGTTAAAAGGCACTTCTTGGTTTTTACCCTCTTGTGCCGATGAGTGCCTTGCAGTGCGTCTTGAGTGTCAGCTAGGCTTGTAGCACTAACCCCTAAACCTAAAGCCCAAACACTATAACCCCAAACCGTACAGAGTCCTAATGAGCACTCTAAACCCTAGAAGCCCTCGACCCGATCACTACCCGTATACCCCAATAAGCCTCAAACCCTAAGGATTCCTCCAGCAACCCTAAACCCTAAACCCTAAACCCTAAACCCTTGAAAGCGGAAAGATAGCCACCGGATCAGCGCTCAGCTCTAGCCTTTTCTCGGGCACAAGGCGCTTCGGTCATAGATGCACTCGAACGCCAGCACAAGCTGGCAAGCTTGCACAGCCCCAGAAATTTTAAATCTCTGGAAGTCTATGCTGGAATCACTCTGCCACTTTGGTCTCCAATCTTTCAAGACCCATCAATTTACGCTTTCGGCCCGACAACAGACTAGGGTCATACACGATTCTCCATTGACCTTGTCTACGATGATACTCAAACAGCTGATGAAGCTCATTTTCCTTGGTCAAAGAATTCGCCAATTGACTGTCCCCGTTAACCCAACGAATCTGAAGCTTAGTGGCCTGCATGCTCTCCTTTAGACACAAAGACTCAATGTCTGTACGCTTCTCCGCTCCTCGAAAGGTTAACACCGTTTGGCTCAAGCGATCGTAAAGGTTCTTACTGTCGCTAATCAGCACCCCATCAATCATCTTGACGGCATCATCACATGACCACAAATTCACATGACCTCCACAGAACTCGAAAGCTTGCAGACGAATCGCATATAATTCATCTTCAGCGTCAACGCCGGCATGAGTTTCGGCAGCCCCAGAACTTCTACACGTTCGTTGTATCTTTGCTGACTGCCAAAAGATAGGGCTAATGCAGACGAGGTCCCCCTCCAAGAGACTCGGCTTAGTCCAGCCAATGAACACTCCCTTGGTAGAGCCACCATCCGGTCGATTTGAATCAGCGGCATCTGCCCAGGCTGCGATCAGGGGCTTCTCGCCCGCGTGACCATGAATCCTCAGCTTCTGACGCTGGCCCAGCTTCGCCTTACGGAGAAGTTTGTTGGTCTCCACAATCTCATTCACGGTTCCTTTATGAATCTTGGACAGCAGGAGACTTACCGGGGCACTCCACTGTGGGGCTACCTGACTCGCATGCCATGAGAGAGCTCCGAGAACACTTCGGAGTTGATGGAGTTCGTGCGGGGTTATCGGGGCATTCGGGTCCTGCCATCGGGTCTTACCGATATAAATCTCGCTCACGGCCTCCAGGTACTCAGGTTGACTTAACAGGAACCCATGATCATGTTGCTCTATCAGTACTCCACATTGGAGGAATCGGCCAGTCTCCCACTGACCCCACTTAAATCGGGCCTGGATCTGGTCCTTTATGGCTTTCCATTCAGCGCACCCCCTTTTACCCCCAAACATGAAATCATCAACATGTCCACAGACATGTCCAATGATGGATCTGTCTTTTCGGAAGAAGGTCCAACAACATGGATCTGAGAGCTGCCTCTCCCCCCCCAAATTTTCCAAGAAGCGCGACACCGATAAAAACCACTGGATGGGGGCTTCTACAAGCCCGTAGGCGGCTTTGGTTAACAACATTTTACTTTCGGGGGGAACACCAAGCGCTTCACAGATTTCCGGCAGCGGTTCACACACCATCTGGCGCTCAGAGCTAAAATCATCCCCCTGAAAAATGCCCCACTGATGTCACCTTTTTCCACCTGGAAATCATGGTTGGTGCAGCTTTGCAAGAACAACTGCCTCGTAGTTCTACTCATTGTTGGGCTGCTTGTTGGCCTGTGTTCGTATTGGGGGTCCATGTAACCCAAAACCACTGCCCGAGCCTTCGGTTTGAGCGCGTTGCCCTGGGAGTCTCGCTTCAGGGGTTCACCTTCTTTGTGGTCTTCATCCAGTTTCCATGTCAACAACCAACGCATTTTCAGGACTTGGTTCCTACTGGGTTTCATGTGGCTAGGGAGGTTTTGGAAAGCTTTGGCAACAACAAAGTTCTTCACTTCTTTCTGTTTCGCCTTGCGGAAACCCTCAAGCTCTCGTTCATTGAGCCGGCGTTCAGACACCTCCACCGCCTGGCAGCGCAACTGTTTCACGAAGAAACACCCCAAATCACGCGTCCACTCCTTCCCCTGTTTGGTTTTCACCTGAGGCAACTCCACAGAAAAGGTCACTGCAGCGCCCTCTTCCTTCCAGTAACTGCTTTCTTCGTCAGGGAACACAACTCCACAAACTTCTAAGGAGTCCGCTGTGGTCTGAAGAGACATCTCTCGGCCATGGCCTCGACCGCGGAGCGGTATACTGCGACTTCTCTCTCTGTCATGCCTCTCTGCTGATGCTGCCTGGGGTCCTGGAACCTCTGTTTGGATGTTGGGAGCTTGCTTTCCATGAATTCTCCGGCGAGCGCGGTCGTGTTCTGGCGACGTCGCTTCTTCTCTCACTCTCTTGTCTTCTTCGTCAAACAACATTTCAGGTTTGGGCATATGTTGGGTATCTGACATGATGTCTTCGTACTGATGAGGCGGTTGCTGACGAAGGGTTTCGGATATGGTCCAGGGTATCGGGGAGGTGTGCTTCAGATCATGCCACGCTTCTTCTCTTGCTGAGGCTGGTCTCAACTGTTGAGGCGTCGCTTTGATCAACTGCCCCCCTCGATACAACCACACAACATGACTTGCCCTCAGCTGTCCATTGTCCACCCGAGTTTCAGTGGCCAGGACTCGATAGGGACCCACGAACTTGCCACCCTTGAAATGCTTTCCCCCGTCGGTTTTTGGCGTCATACGCCTCCAAGCAAAAACGAGATCCCCTGGATACACCCCCTTCATTGGACGAGCCCCCGCCAACTCGGCCCGCCTGATTCTCTCCTTTGCTTGCTCCTCCAGGAAAGTTTTTTCTGCAGTATGCATGGCCTGCAGATCCAACCCAAACTCCGCAGACACCCCACTTTCCGTCAAGATGGGCGCTTCACGAAGCAAACTCTCTCCCAAGTGACCTAGCTCATTGGGGGCTCTACCAAAGGCATGTTGGAGGGGAGTGTAGCCACGGTACTGGTCTCGATTGTTGCTGGCCCAGATGGCTCGATAGAACGCCTCAGAGGCGGTCATAGTTGGCTGCTCAGACACCATCGCGGACATCATGTTTTTAAGGGTTTGAATGGAACGTTCAGCAACAGAAATCTGCCAATGTGCCTCGGCAGGGATATGTTGTACCTCGATCTGCCTCTCGGAAAGATATTCGTCGAGATGCTTGCTACGGAAACATCCCGCGGGGTCCAAGCGCAGAACCTGAGGTTTTCCAAAGTTGGGAAGCCAGTGACCCTCAAAGAAACTGATGAAATCTTGCGCACTTGGGGTTTTGCTAGCATGTTGAAAAAGCAGTCGACCGACACGCATGCGACTTCCTTCATCGACACCGAGCATAAACTGCCATTTCTCTCCACTCTCTGGATGGTTCCATGAAAAAGCATCGCACTGCAGAGTGTGCCATTTTGGAACAATCTCGACTAGGGTAGAGGTACTCCGGGGGTCAGGTCTACAACGCTCAGCACACACATCACACTTAAAGTGTTCCACGCATCGCATCACATCACTACTAGCACCTCGTTTCTTGAGACTAGCTTGAAGGTATTGCTTGCTACAATGACCTGTGGCAGTGTGAATCCGTCGAAGATTCTGGAAAATCTTCTGACGCGTAGCAACAGGAATGTCCTGGATCCCTGGTGGCATGGCCTCATCAGCCTGTCCTTCGGAACTTCCATGCGTCACAAAACACAGGTCGCTGCCTTGTTGCATTTGTTGGGCAGTCTGGAACCAGCTACCTAATCTTTGCAAGTATCTACAGACACGGCGGCTGAACTCTTTTGTGTAGCCTGAATCCCGAAGACCCTCCAACCGAAGTCCCCTTCCCTTTGAATGTTTGCCATCACACACCAGTGACATATTCTGAACCAAAGCCCCATCCGTACTGAGAAAACCCCAACTTCGACACACTAAGCAGCCCTGGTAGTCTCTCACATTGAACTGACATCCTGATCCGGAACCTCGGTACAAATGCAAGTCTCTTTCCAAATCCTGAAGCCAACCTTGACTCCATGCTTCACACTGATCCACCAGGGCAAGGACGCAGGTGGTCCCTGTGGCGACTGCTGCCCGGAACACTTGTGTCAGCCCTTCATACTCGAGATCAGTTTGGGCCCGCTTGACGTGAAGTTTGTGGAATCGCTGCGCACGCGAGTAAGCCGTACTGTCGGGAGAAAACCACACACATTGGGGTTTCAGTTCAGCAATGGTTCGGGTTACGTAGGCTCTTCCAGCAGGGGTCTCAAGATCTCCCCCGTTCCACCGGGCCAACTGAACTGCAGAGCCTTTTCCGAACATCCTTTCACATTCTCGAACCAAACAGCTTTGCTCGGACCCTCCTACTTCCACCAACATGACGGACTGAGGACACAACTCCTTGAACGTGTTCATCATGGCGACTTCGTATTGACTTCCTAAATGCTTTGACACCGAAAAAGGCAACTGACGAAACTCCCCGGGAGCTACAAGGTCCTCAGCACCCTCGCCAGGAACACCATCTCGTTGCTGCTCGTCTACATCGTCGTGTCGTCCTCCGGACCCTTGGCTTGTTTGCGGGGCTTCTCTGAGGAAGCTGTCTGGGAGTTCACCATCAGGTCCTTCAAAGCCTTGAGCTCTGCCGCCAGATTCTCGATCTTCTGGTCCGGGGTCGTGTCGGGAATCAGCTCTAGGTCGCCCACAGTCTCCCACTCGGCGTTGGTCGTTGCGGAGGAGCCTGTCGCCATTGAGGCCGCTGGATTTGGACCACCCGAACTCTGTGGCGGCAGGGACGTCCGTAGGGGAAGATGGCTGGCTGCACTGGTAGTCTCTTCTAGCTTCTGGCTGATCTCGCGTTTCTGGGACAGGCTCAGACCCTGCGCCCATCGGGCAAATCGGCGCAACCTCCAGTGGCACTCGTTCTCCTCGCTGGCGGTGGTGATGCACCACGTGCTGTAACTGGGGGCTTGGGTCACCACCTCGCCATATGTCCACTGGGAGTACTTCCCAAATCCCATGTAGTTCTTCTCGGACGCTGGCACCTGGGTCTCCATGAGGTGGCGCAGGAGAATTGCTCGGAGCTGGTCGGTGGTCTGTTGGCGAGTGAACTCCAACTGATGATCGGTCAATGCTTCCTGGAGAGCTGCCTTGGTCTTGAACCTGTTGACTGCCTTGGCTGCATCTCGCTCGGTCATCATGGTGGGATTCTCCTCGGTCAACTCCGCGATTCGGGTAGCCAGCTGGAGTTTCGTCCGAGCCGTGGGAGGTTCCTCGCCCATCTCGCGGAGCTTCTGCTGCATCTCGGCTTTCGTCGCACCCGGCATGTCGTTCACTGATGAGGGAATGTTCGCCAAGATCCGGAGTGTTTGAGCCTGTTGGAGAAAACCTTCGGGAAAATGCGGCTTCTGGCGGGGAAGATTTCCACGGGAGTTGGAAGCCTAGCTGCTTCAGAAACATACGATCGCCGGATGGTAACTTGTAATGCGAGCTAAGGGAATACCCTACCAGGATCATCCGGTTGCCTTGCCACGGTTCAGTCGCATGCCACTTCCTAGGATCCAGACACAATCCCTTTGAAAGAGGCTTCAGGACGCCCTCAACTTGGGCGGCACCACACATCTTGACGATCTTGGGTTTCATACTTTGGGACTCTTCTGTCCAAACCTCTCCACCCTGCGTGGGATACATCACGGGGACAATCATATTCTGGGACCCTGGGAGATTGTGAACATCACGATGGGGTTGGGACTGACAATTGCACACCAGTATCACTGAGGTCATCCGAAAATCCGCATCCACCCCTTGAAGCAACCGAGTCATCACTCTCGCAGTCCATGGATATTCCCGGGTAGCCCTCGTCACCCCTACTACCCCTCCGTGCACGAACATCCCAAAGTTACTGTAGTCGGAGGTCGAAGATCTTCCTGAGTTGTGGGAGAGCACGTGCTGCGAAGCTGTTGGGATCGAGGCACTAGGACATGCCATGGAACATCTTTAAGGAATTTTCGGAGTCGCTCCCATGGAGCGGAACGCTTGAGAAGGTCTCGAGCTTGCCTTTCGACTAGGTCCTTGATTTCAGGGTAGTTCATATCACGAAGACTTTGAGGACTTTGGGTTAAAAGCTTGTTGTGACTCTCGTGTTGTGGGCTTGAGTGCGTAAAATTCGCATGTTCTTGAGGGTATCTCTCTTCTGGGCAGAGTGACTCAACACTGTACACAAAAGGCGCACTAGTCTTTTCACGTTCCTTCTGGTGAGCGAATGCGCCGGTGTTCACCAGAAGGTGCTGTCCCTACTCGCTCCTCGCAGGATGGCCCCCGCTCTCCCAATCTTGGAACCCCTTGAAAGGTCTCGACATCCTGCGCGCGTTGGAGAGCACATCCTGTGTGAGCGGAAACAGCTGATGGCCACTCGGGGTTGTCTCCAAAGTGACAACCTTCGTTGGATCAAGGGCCTTGAAGATGGCCTCATTGTTTGAAAAATCAATGACTGCACCTAATGACCGAAGGCTTTGAACGCTCAGCAACACTGGCTGTCCAGGAATATCATGAAGGTGCACCTTCATCTGGCCATTCACCTGGGAGCTGGGCAACTTCAGAAGAGCGGTGGCCATGCACACATGCTTGCCGTTGTTCCCGAAGCGGAAAGCAGGGGCCTCGCCTGGCACAATGGTGATGCCATCGTCCCCCGCCCGCTGCCAGTTCAAGTTGGCAATCTGCTGCACTGCCTCTTCTGATCCCAAACTGCTGGTCGCGCCCCCGTCGATGATGGCCTTGCCCTCCTGGATAGCCTGCTGGAGCGCCACAAAGCTGGCTTCCTCGTCTTGGCTGGCGGCCACACTGGTCTGCACTGGCCATTCTGGCTCCGCAGCTCCTGCGTTGCTCAGGCTGGACGTCATACACCCAACTGCCGTGAAAACCAGATTGGCCCTCTGCTCAGAGGTGCCAGCTGACCCTTGCTCAGGGCAATCGCGACGAAGATGCGGACCACCACACTTGAAACACTTCACGGGTGGCCTGGTTGCTGCCTTGCCCTTGCCCTTGCTCGGGAAGAAGTTCCTGTTTCTTCTCATCTGTGCCTGTTTTTCTCTGGCATCCCTCAAGGTTCTTCGGGCATCCTGAATGGCAGCGAAGGCTTCCTGAGCATCGTCCTCCAGAGCCTTGTACGCGTACTCGTCCTCGGGGTCATCCCAGGCGGGAGCTTCATCCTCTTGCCACTCATCATCTTCAGCCAAAAGGACTGCCTCCTCTGTTGTGAAGAAAGCACTGTGCTTTCCGGCATCCCGCTTCTTCAACTCCTCGTCTGGCCACGTCAGCTTGAGAGCTTCTTTGACTCGAGCTGTGCTGAACTGGTTCTTGAGGTTGGCCACTATCACAGCTTTTTCTGTAGCATCCAACCCTGACCTTTGCAGCAACAACCAGGCGATCACAAAATCAGGCAGAAACTTCTCTGCCTGCGATGAGGCGGCCTCCGAAGCATCCCATGAGGCATGGCTGCCATCCCCTGGGCCGACAGCGCTGTAATGGCCCCCGGAGTAGTGGGAGCTCCTCTCCCAGCTCCACGAAGCATTGGGTTGCCACCAAGAAGTCCACCATGAGTTCCACTCCCTGGGGTCCTCATCTTCATAGACCTCGTGGATCACACCATACTCGTCTTCCTCAGGGCCAATGCTCTCAGCCTCTGCCTCGCCCCGGTGCGTTGGATTCTCCTCACCACCATGCTCGGAGGGATGGTGGCTGGTCCCGGTTTGGCTAGGGGCTTTGTAAGACATGGATCTCTTGGAGCTGACCTTGGGCAGTTGGGGGCCATACTCGTGGATAGCTTCTGCCAAGGTCCGCTTGGCCTCCAAAAGTGCTTCATCATGTCGAACCACCCATGCCGCCATTCCTTCACCTCGACGACGCTTGATTCCGTAAAAGAAGCGTGACATGGTCCGACCGGCCTCCGCCAGGGTTGGGGCTCTCACACTCTGTTTCAAGCACTGCAGGAGCTGCGAAGCGCCTTGTGGGTGTGAGATCCATCCTGGGGGCTTGTGTTCAACTGCTAGCTTGGCACTTCCCTCCAAAGCAGCTTGTAAACGAGGTCCCACCAGTGTTCGCTTCTTCCACTCTATCGTCTCAGCATACAGGTATGCAGCTCTTTGGTATGGCACATACAACTCCGGAGATCCATCATAGATCGGTACCCCGTCCTTGGTGTAGCGCAGTTCTGTCATGTCCTGCGAGTTGCGCAAGTCTCTACTTGCACAGATCGCTTGGGCTTGCCTGGAGCCGTCTAGAGCCTCTGCTCTTGACTAGGCCCCGCTACCATGAAAGCGGAAAGATAGCCACCGGATCAGCGCTCAGCTCTAGCCTTCTTTTCTCGGGCACGAGGCGCTTCGGTCATAGATGCACTCGAACGCCAGCACAAGCTGGCAAGCTTGCAACCCTAAACCCTAAACCCTAAACCCTAAACCCTAAACCCTAAACCCCAAACCCTAAACCCTAAACCCTATATAACCCTAAGCCCTAAACTCCCTGGAGCTCACCCCGGCCTGGCAGGGTTTCAGGTTGAGAGTTTAGGGTTATAGACTTTAGGGTTTAGGGTTTAGGGTTTAGGGTTTAGGGACTCTATTAGAGTCGTAGAGCAACCAGGCCAGGACGCGACAGGGTTTAAGGGTTTGTAGGGTTTGTGGTTTAGGGTTCAAACAGGTTTAAGGTTTAAAGTGTCCGGTCTGAAGTTAGTGACCAGTGCCTTCTGTGGACATAGGGAAGCTCTTTGGGGTTCCTGGGGGACCTCTGTGAACTCTTAAGGAGGACATGCCAAGCATTTTGGATAAGTTTTGGGTTTAGGGTTAGGGATTTTGCAGAAGTTTACAAGGCATATCCGTTAATTGACGGGTGTTGGGATTTGTCAACGTCCCGGGGTCCCGGACCCTGCCCGTCACGTGATGCAAAGACCTCCTGAACTTTCAATGGGTTCGGGCGTTGACTCTAAGGCCCAAGTACATACGATGGCACATGGGTTTAGGGTATAGTGCTTAGGGTTTAGGGTTTATATAGGGTGACCCTTCGGGCGTTATAAGTCCTTCCCCCCCAACCTCCCCCTAAAGGATTGCTAGCATGTTAGAGGTTGCAGCACACACAAATGGGTGGTTGTCAAAATTATAATCCCTTTTTGGGTTACCGTAAATATGAGGTGCCGTATTATAATGGGGATCCAAAAGGGACCCTAATTTTACAGCAGAAGCAATTCCATCAGTTTCATGCTCTTCCACACTTGTCAGGCAGAGCCATCCGGAGGCAGGGGCGGAAGCAGTTCAATCACATAATTACGGTTTAGGGTTTAGGGTTCAGGGTTTAGGGTTTAGGGTTTAGGGCTCACGTACAGGGCCTTGGATGGTGTCAGGTTTCCGCGGTGCTGTGCCCAAGCAAAGACATGGCAGCAAACTTAGTTCAGAGTTCGGATGCGCGATCTTCGTTTAGGGTTTAGGGTTTAGGGTTTAGGGTTTAGGGTTTAGGGTTTAGGCTGTGACCCTTCCCTGGTTCACGTGGGGCCTTGACATGTCGCGTGGCTCCAGTCCGGCTGTATCCCTGAGGTGCTAGGCAGCCTTAGGTCAGGCCTGGGTACTTGGACCTGGAGGTCCATGGTACTTATGAACCAATATTGCAACTGTACTTTAATTGTCGTCCCAAGAGCGAATCGACTGCTTGCCGCAGTCATTCAAGTCGCAGCCCCTGTAAAGTCCAAAATGCCCTGGGTTTAGGCGTCCCGGCCTCAGCCCAGGGGTTAAAAGGGTAAGATTCAACTTCTAAGATACAGTCTCCTCCCCCCCCCCTCCCCAATGCCTACCACTGGTAGACTAGGAGACTCTTGCTTTTCTGCGAGGGGAGGGGCGGTGGGGTTCTGAAGCCCTACCCAAAGGCTCCTATGTAGTACCTTTTTGTGGAAGCATACTCGAATCCCCTATTAACTAGCCCAAAAAGGAACTACATTGGAGCCTCTGGGTACGCCCAAGACCCACTCACTCTTGTTTCACCAGGACGTGCTATTATGACCTATGACCCCTTAAAATGGTCCTTTCTACGGTTGATTACGGTGATTTTTCGGGCCTCATCGCCCATCCTCAAAGTCATAAGCCCTGATCTGCGCCCCATGGCCGCCGGCGCGCAACGAGAGCTGGAAGCCAGTGCGAGCCACCGGCATCCACAAGAAGCAAAGGCCTTCTGTTTGTTTTAGGTTTTAGGTTTTAGGTTTTAGGGTTATGGGGTTTAGGGTTTAGGGTTTAGGGTTTTAGGGTTTAGGGTTTAGGGTTTAAGATTTACGGTTCCGCCCACAACCCCTTGATGAAGCAGTATACCATACCTGCATAGGGACTCTTTCTATGAGTTAAGGGTGCATTTCCTGGGGTCAAATTACTTGGCAGCGCGTGCGTGTGCGTGCGCACACGCGTGTATCTTGAGGGCTCACAGCATTGATGGGTTTCCCTTTGACAAAACAACCCTCATCCTAGGTAGCATAAGGGGAACCCTTGAAACGGGAACCCTTCTGAACCTTCTTCTGGCTCTCTTAAACAGGGGCCTGATTCAGAGGGTCGATGGCCACAGGTTCATGGTCCCAAGACCTTCATGGAGCTTCTGCTGTCGCATAGTATCAGAGGGTGGTGGATGAGCCCGACTTTATGCTTCATTAGAGGCGTCGGGGTCCATAAATTCATGCCCGGCCGAACGCTAAACCCTAACCCTTAACCCTAAACCCTAAACCCTAAGCCCTAAACCCTAAACCCTAAACCCTAAACCCTAAACCCTAAACCCTAAACCCTAAACCCTAAACCCTAAACCCTAAACCCTAAACCCTAAACCCTAAACCCTAAACCCTAAACCCTAAACCCTAAAGGAGTGCGAAGGGGGCGCTCCTGGGTTGCTGGTTTGTGTTTCCAGAGGCGATTGTGGCAGCCAGCGATGCAGGACGGGGTCTCCTTGAAGGTCCATGGTACTTATTAACCAATTGTAAGGGTTTAGGGTTTAGGGTTTAGGGTTTAGGAATAGCTGTACTTACTGCACTTAGAACTACATTATGGCACTTAAGGCTTACCAGTGGGTGATAAGTAAAGTTATATTTGGTTAAACCCTAAACCCTAAACCCGAAACCCTAAACCCTAAACCCTAAAGCCCTCCCTCAACCCGGAGATGCTAAGGCCGTATGCCACGGGGGCCTGTGAGGAGGTTGAGGGTAGGGTTTAGGGTTTAGGGTTTAGGGTTTAGGGTTTAGGGTTTAGGGTTTAGGGTTTAGGGTTAAGGGTTAAGGGCTTAGGGCTTAGGGCTTAGGGTTTAGGGTTTAGGGTTTCGGGGCTTCATGACCGATTTATGCAAAAGAAAGACAGGGGGCAACGACTCGGAGCTTCTGAGTAGGAAACCCCAAAGTCGACGAGTCGAAACAGAACCCAACAGTCGAAACAACAACCCTAACCCCTTAAGCCCTAAGACCCCAAACCCCGAAACCCCTAAACCCTAAAACCCTAGAACCCAGAAGCAAAAGCTGGGGGGTGGGGAGGGGTGGGTGGGTGGCTTCAAAACGGCGATTGTGCTTCATGGACCCTTGATGGTGGTTATGCACTCAAACCTAAAGTAAGAGTAGGAGTAGGAGGAGCAGTAGTAGTAGTAGTAGTAGTAGTAGTAGTAGTAGTAGTACTAGTACTAGTAGTAGTAGTAGTAGTAGTAGTAGTAGTAGCAGCAGCAGCAGCAGCAGCAGTAGTAGTAGTAGTAGTAGTAGTAGTAGTAGTCGGAGGAGGAGGCCCTGAAGGCCCAAGTGCATGCATCGACCCCCTGGAACATTGGCATCTAGGAGCCCTGGAAGTCGCTCCGCGAGATGTGGCAAGCCAGAGCACCAGCCGCCTGGTTCAAAGGTTTAGGGCCTTCAGGGTTTAGGGTTTGCTGTAAAAGGGCGTAGATGCTGTGAAGGCTAGGATGCAGCAGAGGCTCGTTAGGTGCGAAGAGCAGCCCTGGCCCGATTGCGGAAGGCCAACTAACACCATTTTCCCACCCCACGCCGTCCAAGGCGGCAAAGCCACCCTAACCTATTCCTTTTAGGGTTTAGGCCTAGACTCAGGACAATCGCTTACTTCCAATAAAGCGTCTTCCGTCACCGATGGTCGCTGAAGGTTTCAGTCCAGGTCATGGCTCCGACATTTTCCAGAAGGTGTGGGAGGGTTTGTTTTCCTGCAGGTCTGCTGAGGTTTAGGGGGCTCCCAGAGAGGTCTTAGAGGGTCCCAAGAGGGGGGATCCCAGGTGGTAAGTCCCAAAAACCCGCCCCGCCTGACCCAAAAGGCGCTCTTGGCACGCTCGAGGCGTCCGGGACCCCCCTGGGCTGGGGCCCTCGGGGTACAAAGCCGGCCATACCGGCCTCCGAGCTGTGGGAGGCGGGCGAACGACCTGGATCGGCTTGCGCCATCGAGGTCGAGGGGCTCAGGCGCCGCCCCCCAACATTCATATTTCTATATGTATTTATGTGTATATATATACATATATATATACATATATATATATATGTTTTTTTTGCATTGCTAGGGTGTCCTTTAGGGGGTACTAGTAATTTAAACCCGGTTTCGTGGTGTACTTTAGATTTTCGCTTCTTGCTCGGACAGCTCTTCGGAGACTCCAGGGATACTAGTAATTTAAGCCCTGTTTCATGTCGGTTTTCAGGATCTACTCGTCGATGCCTTGGCATATGGCGCTTCAAAACCCCCAAACCCCGAGCCCCTTTCAGATTCTTGCCTGGCATGAGCCAAGAGTGTTGCCGGCCCTTTTGCTACATGCAGCTGATAGGGGCCGCCATGCTCCAAGAGGACGAACACGAACACAACACTTTTCTACCCTACCGTAAGGCATTTGTTCTGCACGGCCCAAAGCCCAAGGCCCTAAACCCTAAACCTCAACCAGAAAGAAGAATTTGCGTAGCTGCATGCGACCCCATCGGCCAATTTCGGCCTGAATCCTAAGCCCCAAAACGGATTCCTAGGTCTCAACTTCGGTGCTAAATAGGTTACATGCCTTACTGTGGGAACCCGTACATGCGCCATATATCCTTCTAAAACCCAAGGGCCCATATTTCAGAACCCTTTGAAAGAAGTTGAATAAGGGACTGTGTAACCCAAACCCCAAACCCCAAACCCCAACCCCCAAACCCCCAAACCCCCAAACCCCAAACCCCCAAACCCCAAACCCCAAACCGCAACCTCCCTTAGAGAGATCCCAGAGCCTGAAGCCCTGACCCTACATCTACTTCAAGGTTCATGGTACTTACTAACCAACTATAACTGTACTTACAACCCTACTTATAATACCCCTAAAGGGCCTTATAGGGGTTATTCCCAATTATAAGTAGGGTTATAAGCCCAGTTATAATTTGTTAATAAGTACCATGAACCTCCAAGTACTCAAATGGGACCAGGTATTCTGAGAATCAAGCGGCCAAAGTTCCAGAAGGTGGACAGGGCACATCTTGGCTTTGGGGTTTTGGGGTTTAGGGGTGTAGGGATTCAGGGGTTTAGGGGTTTAGGGGTTAGGGCTTGGGATTTAGGGGTTTAGGGGTTTAGGGCTTCGGGACTTTTAGGGTTTCAGAGCTTGGGGTGTTGGCAGGGTTTAGGGCTGACTCGGAGGCTGCAGACCTAAGAATCGAGTATGAATGCCGTAGATGTTGATGTTTTTGCTACTTCCGGCAGAGTGCCCCAGCAATTGCGCAAGACATATGGGTAGTTCTCTAGGTTGGGGTCCCTTTTTGGGTCACGATTTTTGCACGGCATCACGAAAATAAGGACCTGCAAAAGGGACCCATAAGCATGAGAGGCTTCTTGCATCAAAAGCCCAGCACGGAAGAGACAGCGACCACTCGACCATGCCGCGGAACTGGACTTGACATGCCCAGAGAGCTCAATATCCCCCATGAAGAAGGAATATGCCTTAAATGCGTCGATTCGTTGTAGAACCGAGGCCCAGAGCCTCCTTGTGTGGGTACCCTAAGTATAAGACTCCATATCATAATCCTGGGAATTCCATTTTTAAAGGATTGTTTGTTTTGGGTTTTTTGTTTTTTGGTTTAATTCCACGCCCATAATCCTGACACCAACAGTGACCCTGATGTTTCGGCCTGCCAGATGCACGGTGAGGCAGCCGACACCGCAAAGCAGTGGCAGCCTGCAGATGATGACTGGGATCCAGCTATGGCCACCCGGCCGCCTTAATGTATTCAAAGAGTGAAGTGCTGAGCTGCGCAGTCTTGTGGGGTCCTGATGCCTTTCATGATGCTGAAATGTTGAGGGCATACATCTCGGTACTACAGTGGACAATAAGACGTGAAGTACGCCCAACCACTCCCAACCATACGGGGGTTTCCGAAAAGAGGTGTACCCTTTGTGGAGTCCCTTTAAGGAAATTCTGTTCTATTTGGAGTAGAAACGGGGTGCCCCGATTTTGGGAAATACCCATATTTGCAGCCTGAACCCTAAAAAACCCTAAACCCTAAACCCAGCATGAACGTGTCTGTCCTCAGGTGCGCTTCTTTTCGCGCTGCTACCTCGGCTGCCTGCACGAGCCGTTCCGGTCATGAGAGTTCTTCTCTTTGCATGAGCCAGGATCGGCTCTGAGGCCCTAGAATCCCCATAATCAATCCCCATAATCAACCAACCGCCCTATAATCCCCATGTTCAACCCTATAAAGGCCCTTTTTCAGGGGTTATAGGGTATATATACTCTTAGGCCCTATAATCCCCATATTCAACCCTATAAAGGGCCTCTTTAAGGGGTTAAAGGGTATACTCTTAGGCCCCATATTCCCCATGTTCAACCCTATAAAAGGCCTTTTTAAGGGGTTATAGGGTATACTCTTAGGCCCTATCATCCCCATCATCAACCCTATAAAGGGCCCTTTTAGGGGTTAGAATTCCCAGAATCAACCCTATAATGAAAGGCCTTGTTAAAGGGTTTTTTGGGGTAAACTTGCCCGTCCTGGAATGTCGAAACCTGCGTGCAAGCGGGCCGCAATCAACTGCAGCCCGAAAACCAGGGCCTGTACATATGCTGCCTTCCCTAGCTTCCGAAAGCTGGACCGCTGGGGGCAGAGGCTGCAGGGCATAACTTAGCAAGCGACACTTTGAGAAGTTTCCTGAGCGTCAGAAATTTCAAAAAGCTTGTCATCAAGCGGCTGGGGCCCTGATTACAGCTGCGTGTCAAAGTGGGTACCCCAAAGGGGCGCCACTTGTAGTCAGCTTAGCTCACGCGTGAAAGCTTTCGCCTGCTATTGTGAATGGATGAAGAGAGTCGGCCACCTGCCTATGAAAAGTTACCGCAGCTCACATTTCGAAAAACCATGGTGAAATGATGGCATTGCTGCCCTAAACCCCTGAACCCTGAACCCAAACCCCAAACCCTTCCATCCTGGCTCTATGAATGTCCCTTAATGTTTCCCTGCATGGTTGGTTGACAGCTGCAAGTCTGCACCAGCGAATGTTGTTGCCTAGGAGGCCGTCAGTAAGCACATGTGCTTTTGACACGTGCACATACAGACACGGAAACTCAAGCAGGTTTGCCCTAAACCCTAAACCCTAAACCCTGGTTTATCAGGCAGAGTCTAGGTTCAAAAAGGGTTTAGATCGAGCGTTCTCGCGAGACCACGGAAGCCTTGCTCCGCTCAGGCGTCCGAGATCTACGTCATTGGCAGCTTGGGCAGAGAAGAGACATGTGGCTACGAATTGCCAATAAGGAGCTGTTAGGAAAAAAGGGGGAACATCCCAATGTATACCCCTTAATTAAGGAATACACCCTTAAATTATACTGGGATCCCTAGTATGATTTAAGGAAGATTCCTTAATTGAGGGGTGTTGGGCTCTTTGGGTACACAGAGGCCGTTTTCGGTTATCTCGGTGGTAGGCCAGTGTAGGCGTTCTTGGCACTGGGTGCAAGGCTCAACCCCCCACCCCCCCCTCCCTTCCCCCACACCCTTGTAAAAGCCCAGGTGGTGGCGGCCTTGTGGCAGAATTTGAAAAGCTTGGTTTCCGCTGCCATGGCGGTCCCACAGAGGACGTGGCCCTGAATCACGCCAGCCCTTTGCTTTTGAATCAGGTCAAGATCCGTCACAAGCCCATCTACCCGAACATCTCAAAGCCAATGACCTTGATCACTTTGGTGACACCCTCATATACCCAAATGTTGATATAGCAAGATCCGGCCTGTAGGCTTGGGCTTTGGGCATGGAGCAGTACTCGAAGCATGTCTGGGGATTCAAACCAGGGTTTTTCTAAATGCGGTAACATCTTTTGGGATCCTATTCGTCAGGGTTACGAACGCACAGAGACAGACAGACACACACACACACACACACACACACACCCACACACCCACACACCCACACACCCACACACCCACACACACCCACACACCCACACACCCACACACCCACACACCCCCACACCCCCACACCCCCACACACCCACACCCACACCCACACCCATGCCGGCCCGCACGCACACTACTCACACGTGGAGGCCCTTAGATCCTCGAAAGCTTACTCTTTTCCTGCCGGCCGAACAGGGGTATCCATTTTGGGGATAAGGACTTTAGTTTTGTGGAGGGGGGGGGGGGTAGAGTAGGGATACCCCCATTTCCAGAACTACCCGTATGGGGCTGCACACAATCCTGAAGCCCCCAAAAGCCAACCCTCAGCCTAGAAACCTTAAACTACCAATATCTTGTTCCTGACAAAGGCAGTATAGGGATGATGAACCTTTCTTTTTTCTGGGGGAAAGGGCGAGTTCTTAAGCAAACAGAAGCCTTGCTCGGACGCTATATGCCCTTCATGGCCCACAGCAGGACGAAAAGCGCTTCAGTGAGGACGAGTTCAAGGCTTTGGCGTCTGAAGTCGCTGCCACACGTTGCCTGGAGCTTTTCGTTTAAAGGGTCCATGTCCCCTAAACCCTAAATCCTACACCCTAAACCCTAAACCCTAAACCCTAAACCCTAAACCCTAAACCCTAAACCCTAAACCCTACGTAGATTGTGTGGTGTAACTGTCTATATATGCGTCTGCAGATGTGGCCGATTTGAAACAACAAGAGCCCAGTCTCTTCATGAGGCTTTGATGGCGTGGTGGTGGGATGGGACACAGGAATCACCTACTACAAGGTTGCAAAGAGTGCCGCGCTTAGAAGCCAATTCCCTGAGGGTCCATGTACCTTTAGAGTAGACACTTGGGCCCCTATAAGGCTACATAGGCAACGCTTTAAGGCCCAAGTACGTACCCTAAAGGAACATTGGCCCTTTGGCATTTGGGATTGAGCCTGTGAACATCCATACTTGGAGGTTCATGGTACTTTTTAAGCCGATTATGACTCTACTTATAGCCCAATTGCAACCATGTTAGGGCACTGAAGGGGCTCATTAGTGGGTTATAAATACAGTTCTTACTGGGCTATAAATACCATGAACCTCCAAGCCCTAAACCCTAAACCCTGATTACCCCGAACCTCCAAGTAGGCTCCCTTTAAGACCCTAGAGCGCGCGCGGGATCGAGGTGCACTTGTCTTCCAGCTCCATCCTGAGCCTGGGTCCAAGAAAGCCTGTCAAGTCAACAAAGCGCTGCACCCTAAACCCTAAACCCAACCACTAAACCCTGAGCCCTACCCTGAAGCCTGAACCCTAAACCCCCAAAAAGCCTAAACCCTAATCCCACAAATCGAGAAGTGTACCAAGGGTGGCGAAAGTCTTATCCCAACCACTTGGTCTCAGGGATGGTAAGGGTTCAGCATTGAGGGTCCGATGATATCATGGGTGCCTCTTTTTTTCGGACGCGAGTGTACCCTTGTGCCAGGTTTAAGGGTTTAGGTTGGGGATGTTCCCCCCTTATGCCAAACAGTCCTTAGTAGGGATTGTAATAGGGGGTACTAGAATCCCTATCCAGGACGGATGGTGTAAGGGGGAACATCCCAAGGTTTTTATCGGGTTTAGAGCGTTTGAGTGGTGCTCGTGTGCGCATGTCTCTAGTAGATTTGGCGCAGAGTCTGGGTTCGAAAGCGGGTGCAGGGCTTAAGGCACCTTTCTAGGGGGTACCCAAGTTGGCTCCTCCTCAGGCTGCTCTTTTTACCCCCCCCCCCCCCCCGAGAGGCATAGTTGGGTTGTAAGCAGAGTTGCTAAAAGAAATTTTTGTGCTTTAAATACTAATACATATAAATGACCAACACTCATCTAAGTACCATGAACACTCCAAGACTCCAAGTAGGTGCTTCTTCTATGCGACGAACGATGATCCAGCAGACCGAGTCGGCAGGTGTGAGGGTGCCTGACGAGCCCGGGAACGTAGCCAGGTAAGCTTAGGATTTGCCTAGAGCAACCTTAGGGTTTAGGGTTTTGGGTTTTGGGTTGAAGGGACAAGGTTGCTCGATATGGACAAAGTTTCAGGTGCTTTCTGAATTTCAGGGTGTTGAAGGTTGAAGGCTTTGTCCTTGAGTTGTGGCTTGTTTCCTGGGCTTTGGAGTACTATACTTTAATACTTTTTTTGGTTTTGGGTTCCCATTATAGCTACTTATACCTAAGAAGTATATACTTTTTTTCTGGGTCTACTCCAGAGGTAGGTTTCTGCCGTGGTCTGGTCGGACTTTTGGCTTGCAGCAGAGAGCGGCCACTACGGCGTTGTCCTGTTGGCCACAGCAATCGAAGCAGAACAAGGTGCGTTGGGGGGGCCCTAAACCCTAAACCCTAAACCCTAAACCCTAAACCCTAGCAGGGGAGGGCGGGTTGGAAGTGGGGTGTCTCGACTCAGCGGGAAGACTGAAGAGGGGACCGGTTCTCCCAAACATTCTTAGTAGGGAATGAGGGAATGAGGTACCCCATATCCTCCCACAAAGACCCTTTCAGGGAATATGTAGGAGGGTGATTTTACAGCTCAAGTTCGTCCACGTGCTTGTCGTAAGATTTGGCTTGCAGAGGCTGGGGGTTCGAAAGTTGCTATACCCAAAGGGGCCTCTATGCCCGTTCATTGAGACAAGAGACCTTCGAAGGCTAAGCCTCGGCTTCATCGCAGAAACCTCGAAACTCTCCTGAAACCCTCCACCCCAAAACCCTAAACCCTAAACCCTAAACCCTAAACAAACTCACATGGAACCCAAGAAGGTTTAGGGTTTAGGGCCCCTTCCAAGGGTTGCACCTTAGTTTCCGGGAACCCGCGAGCCGAAAGGCCCTTGACATCCCTCGTTCCCTATGACTCCCAGGTGGGATAAGGGGGACCCTTAAAAGGGAACCCCTTCTTCACCCTCTTCTGGCTCTCCTAACAAGGGACCTTATTCAGAGGGTCTATATCCCCAAGGGTCCCCCTAATCCTATCCCCTAAATGACAGGCGTCCCCCCGCTTCGACTCATGGAGCTCCTCGGTGATGCAAAAGGGTGGCTTTTGGGGTTTAGGGTTTAGGGCTTTTGGGGTCGTCACTGGCCTGGCTAGGACGAGGCCAAACCTGGCGGAGCCCTGGACCCTAAAAAAGATAGAGAGAGAGAGAGGGAGCTCAGTTCCGGGTTCAAATTTGGGTTATGTATGTATATATATATATATATATGTACGTAGATCTGCTTTTAGATGTATGTGTACAGACCAAGCAATAGACCTTAAACTGTACATGGATCCTCAATACGATTTACGATACATGTCTTAATCTTGTGGTATTGGGCGCTTCGGAGCCTTTATTTCTGAGCTGTTTTTCTTCTTCTCCCAGACCATTTCTGAGCCTCGTTGAGCTTCTCCCAGACCATTTCTGAGCACTGTTTCGGGCTTCCGCATGCACAATATCCTTGATGAACAAAAAGAACCCTTCAATTGGGATCACAGACCTTGCAATACTAGAACCCTTTTTTTGCGGTCTGCAGGGGTTCAGCTTGAAAGGGCCCCAGAACCGCCGAGCTTGTTGTTTTGCTGCCTTATAGGGTGTTCCCCCTTATGCTACCAGTCCTTAATACCGTAGGGATTATAGTAGGGGTTACTAGAATCCCGATTAAGGACTGTTAGTATAAGGGAGAATATCCCGAGGTTGGCCTCTTGTTTTCGAAGGGCCTGTCATCCAATGTTATACTACCCCCCCCCCCCTGGGTTGCCCCCTTAAATAGCCTTAAACAGGCTTGATTATTCCTAAATAGCTTAAATTATGGGGGGAACCTAGAGGGGTAGTATGGAGGGGGTAGTAGGGGAACCCATGATAAATGCAGAACGCCTGTGGAGACTGACTAGGATGCCCAGTAGTGCCCTTGTTCCCTTCTTGGGCGGGTTTTGGGTCCCCTTATAAACCCTTTAGAGGCGGAAAAGGGCAGCCTTTTAAATCCTAAGTTACTGGGCAACCTAGATGATGAGGTTTGTGCTCAAGCTTTCCTTGGGTGGTGACGTGCGCCGCAAGCGGTTCACATCTGCCACGCGGCTTGCACCAGGGTTCTCGCGCGAGCGCTTGGCATTGCAAGTGCGCAGCAGCACGTGCCCCTTTGACCCGTGTATCATTCCAAGGTCTCCGACGCAGCTTGGCCAAATTTTGTTTTTCATTGCGAACCAAGCCATGCTCTTCAGAACGAAGCGAACCCAGAGAGCCCAATACCCCTTAATTACGGAATATACCTTAAATCATAAGGGGATCCTTGAATTATGATCTAAGGGATATTCCTAATTTAAGGGGTATTTTAGCTCTTTGGGAAATTTAATCACGAGGTTCTTCTGCACCAGGAAGTCCATCTTCGCTGGCTTGGTGCGCTCAGGTGTCATTCCAGGTCATCCGGGACACGGCCAAGGAGTGCTTTGACGTTTCAGAGGACTTCATCATGAAATATCAGGCCAGGGCCCGAGGGTTTAGGGTTTTAGGGTTTTAGGGTTTAGGGTTTAGGGTTTAGGGTTTAGGGTTTAGGGTTTAGGGTTTAGGGTTTGGGGCTTAGGCTTTCGCACAGTATCTTCATCAGTGAACCCAGTCCCTAAGGATCCATTTACATGTTTCGTAGATACTTGGGCCCTTAAGCTACCAAATAGGAAGCCCACGTATATGCTTTTGAGGTACATGGCTCGTTACTTGGAGGTTCATGGTACTTAGATTAACTGTACTTATAACCCACTAAGAAGACCCTTAAGTGCCCTAACATGGTTATAATTGGGTTATATGTACCATGATCCTCCCAGTAGGGCATGCCCCGAAGTGAGTTTCGGGTACTGGCGCGTGTCCGGAGAAACTGGCCCAACTGCTGCCCATTCATCTACGAATGCCTAAGATTGTGTAAATGCAACTTCCTATCTGCACCTGTGGTGTTACATGGATGCGGACTTGGCAGCAAACAGATACAAAGTGGAGTTGTAACACCCTGAAACAAGACCGCCCCAAATACCCCCTAATTACCGAACATACCTTTTTTTCGGGATCCTGAATATGATTTGAGGAATATTGCTCTATTGAGGCGTATTGGGCTCTTTGGGTACCCTGAACCCTAAACCCTACACCCGAAACCCTACACCCTAAACCCTACACCCTACACCCTATACACCCTAAACCCTCAACCCTACACCTCAAACCCTACACCCTAAACCCTACACCCTAACCCTAAACCCTAAACCCTAAACCCTAAACCCTAAACCCTAAACCCTAAACCCAATACACCCTAAACCAAGAACCATCGCTTTGCAACTCGGATGGCTTGAGGATGAGGAGGGCGACTGGCCTTGCTCTGAGTCTGCGCCGGGGTTTTTTCGGGCTTTAAGGGGTTTAGGATTTAGGGTTTAGGGTTTAGGGGAAGTGTGCCTCATAGTTTTTGGGTAGATGTATGCTAGTTTAAGGGACAAGGTTGCTCTAGGTAGAGTCGAAGGGTCTCTTTGTTAGAGCTCTTTCTCCTTCTTCACCCCCCGGGGGCGGCATCTCTCAAGAAATTACCACTCCTGATTGCGTAGGACCCGAAGGAGGCCCGTATTCGCCATGTTAAGGGTTTAGGTTCCCTCATGTCCTTTTAGCCAAAAAGGGTACCCTTTTACTCCTAGGTTACTCTTGACATGGAGTAGCACTCGGTCATTTAGCTACGCGGCATGTTACAGAAAACACCAAAAGCCTAAACCCCAAAGCCTTGGACCCCTAAACCCAAAACCCTGAAAACCCTAAGGTGCACCCTAAACCCTAAACCCTAAACCCCAAACCCTAAACCCTTAAACCCCTAAGGTGCACCCTCACGCCGGCCACCCTCTCGGATGCGATGGACCTCGCTGCGGCCGCTTGATCAAAGAGTTGGTTTTATTTAGGGTTTAGGGTTTCGGGTTTAGGGTTAGGGTTTAGGGTTTAGGGTTTAGGGTTTAGGATTTAGGGTTTAGGGTTTAGGGTTTAGGGTTTAGGGTGTAGGGCAGCTTGGCGTTTTGGGCCCCCTGCGGGTTGTTCCGGAAATGGGGTTACCCCCCCCCCCCCCCCCCCCCCCTCACAAAAACCTGCAGTAACTAGGTCACCTCAAGTGTCCAGCCAGCCAGGGGTTTAGGGTTTAGGGTTTAGGGTTTAGGGTTTAGGGTTTAGGGTTTGGAGGAACGGTCTAGGACTTTGGGTGTTGCAGCCTGAAATGGGGAAATTCACCTATGGGTATTACACATTGGGGCACCTTTTTGGCGACTTCCTATAAATATTCAGGCTGATACTGTTTTTTGGGATATATTAAGGGTACCCCTATTTTGGGAAATACTTTTGGTGTATCTCAACCCTAAACCCTAAACGCTAAACCTAAAACCCTACCCTATGTGAAGGTCCGTGGGCGTCACGTTCGGTTAGGTTGGTGCGCTCAGGAACCCAGAAGCCCAGACCGTCAACCACCACAAATTTTCAATGATCTGTGTAAACCTTTTTTTCGTTACTGCAATCATCGAACCCTAAACCCTAAACCCTAGACCCTAAACCCTACACCCTAAACCCTAAACCCTAAACCCTAAACCCTAAACCCTAAACCCTATACCCTAAACCCTAAACCCTAAACCCTAAACCCTAAACCCTAAACCCTAAACCCTAAACCCTATCATCATGGCACTTAGCATCCCAGGCCCCGGGGGTTCTCCGTTTGGAGATCAATGGCGACGGAGGAGTTCAGCCTGCCTTGCAGGGGTGTGCACAACCCAAAGAGCCCAATACCCCTCCATGAAGGAATACACCTTAAATCAGAATGAGGATCTTGTATAAGATACCTGAATTAAGGAGTATACCCCAGTCATAACAGCATTTCCTTTGGCTAACTTCAGATATTGGGATCCCTGGGTATAGAGCCCGGTGTGTGTGCGTGTGCGTATGTCCCATAACC